GCATGACGACTTCTCGATTGTCTACTACAATAAAATTTTCTTGACTCTGGCAAGGGAGGGCGATGATGGTGGCGCGCCTTCACTTCAGTGCTTGTAATAGTCACTAGGTGGTCCACAGATATGGTTGTATTTTTTGTTTTACTCGTGGTATTCTCTCTATTTTGCAAGAAAACTTTTGATTTATTCATCATGCCACGACTGTTCAAAGAACACTGAAATAAAAACCATTACATCTATGCGCATAGACCACCTAGTGATGACTACAAGTACTGGAGCAAACCGAAGGCGCGCTGTTAGCATTGCCCCTCCCTCACCGAAGTCGGGCCAAACTTGTTATAGTATACAGTCGGGAAGTCATCGTGCTAAGGCCCCATGGAACCGACACATCAAAACAACAACCATCATCGGCAAAGAGAAATATAGATTGAAAGGATCTAATTTGTAGACACGCGAGCGAAGATGAACAAAGAATGGATCCAAGAAGATCCGTCGAAGACCTTCACTGACTGAATCCCGTGAGATCTGCCATAGACACATCACCACACACCCTCCGATGACGCTACACGCATCACACAAATAGGGAATAGACAGTGAGAACCTTATTTCATCTTCAAGTAGCCGTCACCACCTCCTCTTCTTGAGTAGGACACAAACCATAAAACAAACTCATAAAACACCTAAAAAAACTCCTATACCGGGTCCATCGCACCTCCATGGGTAGAGCCATCAGAGACGGAACACTAAGTTTTTCTAGTAAAAGGGCATGTGCCTGACTTTATAAATAAAGCCACCAGGCAAAGTAGCAACCACATGACCGAACCAACATCAACACCCTCAGACGGGCAAGGTTTAAACATCCATACAGGGCCGCCAGGCCAAAGCAAGCGGCACGCAGGCCAACAACCTAACAAGCCAAAAGAGAGCAGAATGAAGACATCAGGCGAGACTCAAGTAGCACCAGTTTGTTGTACGAGGGAAGAAGCAAAAGCGCGAACTCTTGAAATCAGCTCCTCCAAAGCGACTCGCTCATCCTCCTTAGTCAATAATTTCCACTACTGTAGAAAGATCAACGTTTTAAACCAGCAATCAGCCAGTCTGTTCGAAAAAATATGCTCAGTAAATTTGTTTTTGGTGGTCCAAAGTGCCCAACAGAGCGCTGGGAACCCAACCCAGAAGAGTCGTTTCTTCTGCCCCAGCAGACCAGAGATCAAAGGCCTTAGTTCAGCGAACGAGGACGGAGCCCAGGGAACTCCCATCCACTCACGAATAAAGGACCAAGCTAGTTTAGCAAGAGCACAACCGAAAAAAATATGGCCAGAGTTTTCCAAAGAGTTACATAGGGCACAACGGTCGGACCCGGGGCCATTCCTTTTCCTGATCTGATCAGTCGCCGACAGGCGCCCTCTGATAGCCTGCCATAGAATAAATTTAGTCTTGGGAGGTACCCAAGCTTTGCATACATCCTTGAACTTATTAGTAGGCATACTATAAATAAGACGACCATAGAGTGACTTGACAGAGAATCTACCAGAGGTAGTATGAGGCCAGATGACAGAATCATTCTCCTCCGAGAAAACAGGGAAATTGGTAGCAAGAAGCTTCTAGTCACCCAACTCTTCGGGAGAAAGGGTTCTCCTAAAACCTAGGTCCCAAACTGTGTGGGAGAGCTCAGAGATTGAGATCTCCGGAGAAGAACAATACGAAAATAAGGTAGGGAAGGCAACAGCTAAGGGGAAATCCCCACACCACCAATCAAGCCAGAACCGAACAAAGGACCCATTCCCCACCAAAAACTTGATGTGAGCTCTGAAATCATCTCGCACTTTAACCAGATCATGCCAGGACAATGAGCCACCCGCGACCAAGGCAAAGAGGGGACTACCATTGGGGAAGTACTTGTTTTCAACAGGGCAAACCACAGAGAGCCGGGGCCCGTAGTGCGAATCTTCCACCACCACTTGATGATCAGGCACTTGTTCATGATTGAAGTGTTCAGAATACCTAGACCGTTGTAGGATTTGGGGCGACAGATGTGCTGCCATTTAACCAGACAGTATTTTCGGCGGTTATCAGCAGCATTCCAGTAAAAGGCACTCCTATGTTTGTCGAAACCCGCATGGGTCCCATCGTTGGGACGATAGAAACCCATTGTGAACATGGGAAGGGAAGGCATGCATTGGTGAGGCATACCTTGCCCGCGCTGGTGTTGTACCTACCACGCCAGGGCATGACCCGATTGCCAACCTTGGCGACAAGGGGTGAACAATCTTTAGCGTGTAGTTTGAAAGGAGCAATAGGAAGACCAAGATACTTAAAAGGGAACGACCCACGCTGACAATTAAGCCGTTGGGAAACTCTTAACGCCTCGTGCTCGGTCACCCCAATGGCCAGAGCTTCACTCTTAGAGAAATTGATTTTCAGACCTGAGAACGATTTAAAACAGAGCAAAAGAAATTTCAGAGCCAGACAAAGATCACCGAGCTCGACCATGATGATAGTGTCATCTGCATACTGAAGGTGTGATACCCCTTCCGGGATGAGGTGCGAAATTACAGGGGAAATATGGCCTGCCACGGAGGCCCTCAAGAGAATACAAGAAACACATCTGCAACTAGGGATGAAAACAGACGGAAATGGGTGCTACCACATTTGTTTTCATATTTCTTTGCAAAAAAGGAAACGAATACAAAAACCTCGGAAATGAATACGGAAACAGATACTAGCGGAAACGAACATGGAGCGAATACAAAACGGACACGAAAACAGAAGTGGGCATTGACCGAAAATTAAAAATCCCTTGAATCATAAATAAATACACACCAAAACAAACAAATTTAATGAATTGCTGACATGGCTATAAAATAATATGATTATGTTAGGAACTTAGCATATTATTGTAGTACTGGCAATTGCGTATAGAATCTAGTTGAGTACGTCTGTGTTGGTAGAAGTTGAGCCTTGAATGATCCATTCTGATCATTGTGTCATTGTGTATTGTTTGGTGGTTGGGCTACAAAGCAGCCACATGGCTATAGTAAAAAACAAAAATTTCATATTCACGGAAACGGAAAGTTCCGTCTCCACACCTGTTCCATCATAAAACACCGTTCCGTTTTTGTTTTCATTTCCAATAAAATATTATGTTTCCATTTCCGTTTTGCAAATTTCAATTTTTGTTTTCATATTTCCTCTTCGTTTTCATATTTCAACCGGAAAAACGGAAAGTTTTCACTCCATTTTCATCCCTATCTGCAACGAAGTTAAAGAGAAGCGGGAGAAATGTGATCCCCTCGCCGCAGGCCTCTACCATTGGTGAAGAAGTTACTAATCTGTCATTAACCGCCACAGCAGTGTGCCCATCAGAAACAAACTGCACAAGCCTATGCACGTAGGCTCCATCATTATCCTAAGTTTTTTTCTTTAAGAGGAGGCGGCGGCTATGTCTGAGCCTTGCAATAAACAGAAACATAATCAGCTTGTCCTAGTGTTCTCTATGCTGTCACATGAATAGACTGAAAGTTTTTCCCGTAAAATTAATAAAAAAGATTAAGATACAACTGCCCGGATACTCTGTACCTTCATTCCCCTCACCAGATATCGAAATAGCAGTGGGTTGGAGGCAGGCAGGCAGGCTGGAGACTGGCGCGCACGACAAGAGGCAACGACACACAACGTGGGAGCCAACAAACAGACAGGACGTGAATAATAATCTGGGAAGCAAAGAAATGGAAAAGAAAGAAAGAAAGATAACAAGGATACTGGCGGACAGCTAGGCCCGAGCCGGGCATCAATAAAATCGGCAAAAATCATTCCAACTTAAAAAATTCGCCCTCCTTCCTTTGCGCGTCCCACCTGTCCCGCCGCGGGCCCACCGCACGTCTCCTCCTCCGTCCACCCCCTCTCTCTTTCGCGCCCGCCGCCGGCCACCGTCACCGTCACCGTCCCCCCCTTGGAGGATCTCCCCGGGAGGGGAGGGAAGCCTCCGACCGGCGAACGCCGACCATCCTCCTGTTCGTTTCGAAAATCCAGAAAAAAACGGGTAAGGCCAGGAGGCTTCCGCTGACTACCTCTGAATTTTACTCCATTTAAAAGCATTTCGCTGTATCAACCTTCGAGATTCTCGACCTGCTTGGTTTAATGTCAAGTACCCTTAGCAGCAAGAGAAAAGAAGGAGGCGATTTTTGCTGCAATCGCATTTGGCGTCGTTGAGGATGCCTGATTGCAATTGGTTTATAAAAATGTTAAATGGGATGGGAGCATAGTTTATTGACATCTGTGATGATGAGCACGAAAGGATTTCTGCAATTTTAAAAAGGCTAGGCGTCGAACCCGTCGCCGGCGACGACGAGGCTCGCGTGGGCTGCGGAGCCCTTTGTCATGGCCCTCGACAGCGACCGTCCTGTCCGATTCTTTAATCCCGACCCGGTATCCCAGCGCGGAATCGTCTGACAGATGGCCGTGGAATTCTTCCGCCCCATTTTTCCTCCAAGAAAACGCAATCTTAGACATTGGGAGATTGGAGCGCCATTAAAAATTTACTATCTTCCCTTGTCTGCTGCTCTGAATATTATATACTACTACTGGTGTATTTTTCTTCTCTAGCTGTGTTGTCCTTCTTGATTTTCTCCGACTACTACTACTTGTTCCTCCAAGAACGGACGACCGCTGTTTCCCTCTCCCCTCCTCCGTCTTCCTCCTCCCCTCCGTTCCCCAACGCCGCGGCGTGTAAGCTTCTCTTCTCCATCTCCTCGGATCGAATCGCGTGCGGCGTAAGCGAAATTGGCAGAGGCGAATCACCAGGCAAAAAG